CCACAATCCTTAAAAACGTCTTGCGGCCAATGATAACCTATTAAACTACTCCGGCAGTGTAACTTGAGAGGACCCCGACATCTGAGATGCCGCCAGTGGCACAGCGGCAAGTCTGTGGACTTATAACGCTAAAAACCGGGTTTCGATACCCATAGTAGGCACAGCACAGATAGCTCATTGTGTAGCTTTATGCTTAAATACAAACAAAACAAAAGACATCCGAGATAAATTGTACGAACATGTTACTGTTTAGCTGTAGAGTCGAGTATCAAAACAGTGTCAAAAGTGCAGCCAAAAACTAATATTTGTGAAAACGCTAAATAACGAATCATATCAAATACAGAAATTAAAGAATACCCAAAGCGTATAATAAGTAGTTAGAAAAGGTCTTCTAATTAATATATAACCATGTTAAATGTAATAAAAAGAAAGACAATATTATCAAACATATTAAGAAGTGTGTCTAACAGAAGTAAACCGACTTTTAACTGACTTCTCTCACTTAACAAGAGACATGGAGCGGCTAACAGGAAATGATGAATAAATAAAGTTAAATGCTCAGTAACAGCAGAAAAATAAATGCGATAACATTAAAAAACTTCAGTATTAATGACAAAAATAATAAGGAAAATAATTTACAACAATGGTAAATATAACAATTAAAGTAATTATCAAAAACTAATGTAAGATAAATGGTAGCAAGAATATTGTTAATTAAGGAATCTTCGTGCTGCTTAGTCGATAACAACCTAGTGAGTGCACGAGTGTGTGATTTGCTATAACAATTTAATAAAACATAAAATAAAATGATAACATTTATATAATCTCTACAAGTTTCAACTGAAGATACTCAGTTAAAGTGATCAGATTTATATAATCTCTACAAGTTTCAACTGAAGATACTCAGTTAAAATGATCAGATTTATATAATCTCTACAAGTTTCAACTGAAGATACTCAGTTAAAATGATCAGATTTATATAATCTCTACAAGTTTCAACTGAAGATACTCAGTTAAAGTGATCAGATTTATATAATCTCTACAAGTTTCAACTGACGATACTCAGGTATCCTCAGAAGAATATTAAATTTGGAATTCTATTTCCTTTTCTCGTTTTCTGTTTTGCTCACGCGAAAGAGTACAGAGTTCATGCCCATTCTCTTACTTTAGGGTTGGACGGTTTTCATTGATATGAAACGAGCACCAGCAGTAGTGTAGATTAATTGGTCCGGTATCATTGTTGATAACATTAGCTTTAGACTTCAGAATTTATATTTCGTTGCTTTCAAAACTTCGCTTTACCAAACAAGTATTTTGGAGTCTTCCCATTTTAAGATCAGCTGTGGCTGGTTGTTGTTTCTCTCCTCTATCGAAATTCCCCTAGCGTTATTTTACTGTTATCTGATAAGGATCGTTTTGTGTGTTCAATATATACTTCCCACACGAACATGGGATGCTACTCTATTGAAATTCCCTTAGCGTTATTTTACTGTTATCTGATAAGGATCGTTTTGTGTGTTCAATATATACTTCCCACACGAACATGGGATGCTACTCTATCGAAATTCCCTTAGCGTTATTTTACTGTTATCTGATAAGGATCGTTTTGTGTGTTCAATATATACTTCCCACACGAACATGGGATGCTACTCTATCGAAATTCCCTTAGCGTTATTTTACTGTTATCTGATAAGGATCGTTTTGTGTGTTCAATATATACTTCCCACACGAACATGGGATGCTAGAAATTCTCTGTTTAAAGAAAATCTATCAACTTCCTGTTTTTTCTTTCTATCGAACTTTTTAAGCATTTGTTTGATTGGTCGAATGGTGATTTTATAATGCTTTTAAAAAAATTATGATTTGTTTCTTATACCTTTGGAGTATACGGTTGTATTTTAATGTGTGTTTTCAATTCTTTCTTTTAAATCATTAGTTAATGTTGACCTGTTTAAGTTGGTATGGTGTTTAAATATGCTTTTATTGTACAAGATTGTTAATACTGTTCGGCAGCATAGCATACTAATTGTACTTTTAATAATAAAAGCACCAAATTTGGTACACATATAGACTAATGGACGACTAAAATAATTAAATATGGAGGCATTTGAAATTATACCTAGGTCCACATGCTCTGAGTGAGTAACTTAAAGAGGTAATTCTTGTTGTAGTCAACATGCAGAAAGTTATACCGGTATGACAACAACACTTCTGTGCACCCCATGTCAGCGTTTTGCCAGGTGGTTAAGGCACTCAACTCGCAATCATACGGGTCGCGGGTTCGATTCCCATCAAACATGCTCGCCCTTTCAGCAGTAGGGTCGTTATAATGTGCGAGTAAATCCCACTATTCGTTGGTTAAAGAGTAGCCCAAGAGTTGACGGTGGGTGGTGACCACTAGCTGCCTTCCCTCTAGTCTTTCACTGCTAAATTAGGGATGGCTAGCGAAGATAGCCCTCGTGTAGCTTTGCGCGAAATTCAAACCAAACCGAACCGCATTTTGCCCTGGCTGTGCTTTCAAGAGAGTCAGCTACTTAGTTGTTCCATAACAAGTCTTGGCATGACACATCTAGTTCTTGAACTGAGATGTATGAGATGAACATTTGCTGGAAATACTCATCAGATGTCTTGGCAGGACTGGTCTTCAGCACCATCAAGGAATATAGTGATTGTTCTTGATCCTCTTGGTCCACAGTAAGTCATTCTGCCTCAGAGAGTGTTAGAGACAAGCTCGATTCTCATGTAGGAAGAACTAATCCAAGTTTCCGTCTCGTGTCTGAAATCCTCGAGAAGAGCTGCAGATTACTCTTCATTGCGATCAGCAGGTACTGAAACTTCCTTGGTATAAAGAAAAAGTAAGTCCTCGCAAGTCATCGCCCTTCTCTTCAAAGGGATTTCCAAACTCTTCAACCACAGCTACGAGAGAGCTAACATCCGTTTTAACTGCAGCCATTTTGAAACTCAAACCATTTAATTTATTATCCCTGAAAATGTAGGAATAGCCATCAAAATCAAGCTTCTAACTGGTTTAGATCCGAATATATCATTAGAAATGTGGTTTTAAACAGTGTCCATTTTGAAATCCAGTATGCGAACACGTAGGTGCAATTTCAGGTACGTCCATATCTGAAACTTTTCATAATACATTGTTTAACACTTGCGCCAAATTTGGTGCTTTTTTCACCTATTTCACAATTGTTATGGTGATGTGTGCTATGCTGCTGAACTAATAATCACAAGTCTTCATCAGTTACGATACCAACTAATAATCACAAGTCTTCATCAGTTACGATATCAACTAATAATCACAAGTCTTCGTCAGTTACGATATCAACTAATAATCACAAGTCTTCATCAGTTACGATATCAACTAATAATCACAAGTCTTCATCAGTTACGATATCAACTAATAATCACAAGTCTTCATCAGTTACGATACCAACTAATAATCACAAGTCTTCATCAGTTACGATATCAACTAATAATCACAAGTCTTCATCAGTTACGATATCAAGTTACCGGCGAGTACATGGTCAACCGAAAAATAAATTTAAGGAGATTAATTACATTTACATTGGGGTGTTGTTGTTATTGTTGTTTTAGTACAAAGCCAAACAATGTGGTAACTGCATTATGTCAACTGTGAGGGATCGAACCCCGGATACATTTACATTGGGGTGTTGTTGTTGTTGTTGTTTTAGTACAAAGCCAAACAATGTGGTAGCTGCATTATGTCAACTGTGAGGGATCGAACCCCGGATACATTTACATTGGGGTGTTGTTGTTGTTGTTTTAGTACAAAGCCAAACAATGTGGTAGCTGCATTATGTCAACTGTGATGGATCGAACCCCAGAGTTAGGCACTGTAAGTCCGTAAACTTACCGCTGACCCAATGGGCGAACTTCACAGTTAAAAGATCAAATTTCGTGTAACCCCTCAATGGTTATGCTATCTAACACTTTATTATAAATATAGATTCTACTATCAATTGCCCTTTTGAAAGAATAACTAATATTTGGGTATTTAGTGGTAACTATATAATGGAAACTATTTGTTAAACAAATTGAAATGTAACGTTTATATCCTTTATACACCTACGTATTGACCTATTCCATGTAAGATATATTCCATACACGCAATGAATACATTTATTTCAGTTATTTTTATTAACCCAAAGACTTTTCTTTCAGTAATTTTTGTCTACCGTTTTGCAATAACGAAGAAAGTTAAAATAATTTAAGAATTATTCATTCGTTTTTAAAAAAAGAGATGTAATCTAAAAGTTTATATATATATTGAATTTTATTTCTCAACTTCGAAATGTTACTTAGATAAAATGTAAAAAAAATAAATAAAAGTATAAAGTAAAATGTTCTATGTTTCTACGGATCCTACCAACTAAAGTTGACAATTTGAAAAACAGATATTATGCACATTCAATAGTGCAGTGAAATATCTATTCAGTAATATATAGTCAATCAATATTATCTATACAGTAATATATAGTCAATCAATATTATCTATTCAGTAATATACAGTCAATCAATATTATCTATACAGTAATATATAGTCAATCAATATTATCTATACAGTAATATATAGTCAATCAATATTATCTATACAGTAATATATAGTCAACCAATATTATCTATACAGTAATATATAGTCAATCAATATTATCTATACAGTAATATATAGTCAACCAATATTATCTATACAGTAATATATATAGTCAACCAATATTATCTATACAGTAATATACAGTCAATCAATATTATCTATACAGTAATATATAGTCAACCAATATTATCTATACAGTAATATATAGTCAATCAATATTATCTATACAGTAATATATATAGTCAATCAATATTAATTGGATCTTTCACTGAAAATTCCAATAATAATTCATACTTTTAAAGAAACTGTAAAGTTGTTTTAAATTTTTCTCAGACTTATATAATCTTAATATTCGAAACAAATGTACAATGAAATATACCTTTAAGTCTCGATGTACGATGCAATGATTATGACAGTATTCCACAGCGGATAAGATCTGCCAAAACATCTTTTGAGCCATTGTCTCCGGCATTCTACCATGTTGTGCAACAAAATCTACAGAAAACAGAAAGAAATTATCTCATTTTTCCTTACTGCACAGAAAAATACTCACCAACTTCAGAAAGTTTATTAATTGAGAATCATGTCTTCGAGCGCTTCTTGTATAGCATAAACAAGTTTTATAATGATTTTATTTTCTTTGGCAAAACTTCCGATCAGAGAGACGGCAACCAGCTAGCAGCATCCACCGCCTACTCTTGAACTATTGTTTAATAACAAATAGTGGGACTGACCGTCACATTATAAAATCCCCACGACTGAAAACGTGAACATGTTCGACGAATGATTGCAGTTCCATAATTCCTAGTTTGCGAGTCAAGCACTCTAACCACCCGCACAAGCCAGATCCCTGTTTTTTGATGCGGTGTTGTTAACTTCCTTTGCATTTGAATTTCTATAAACTCAACATAATTATTATCTTTTTTATTAATAGCCAAATTCCACCATATATATGTCATGAACTGACTATTCTCCATATAAAAATGTACAAGTAAGAAGACACTTTGTCAGCCTTTATTCATTTTCATGAATCAGTTCCTATAATTTTGAAAGTTACCGTTTCAAAGCAACAGAAACAAGTAGACTAGAAACGTGTGATAAAAAAGCACAATGATGGTGATGGTAGATGATATATTTATCACATTCCTCTTAATTTGTCCATTGCAGATTCAATACTAATTTTACACACTTCGAGTTTTGCATCTGTAATAGACAAATTAAGGGGAATGTGATAAATATATCATCTACCATCGCCATCATTGTGCTTTTTATCACACGTTTTAGACCTATTGGCTTCTAAAGTTTCAACCGTAACTTCTAAAGTATTACACAAACGTCGTTGATATACAATTGATATACAATATAATACTTTAATACTTAAACGTCGCACTGTATGTCAACGACGTTTAAGAGAATACTTTGTTTCTCGTCATCAGTCCAACTGTCCAGTTCTGATATTGTACGAAAGGTCTCTCGAGCAGTTACTTTGTGAGTGACAAAAGACAAATGTGAAATGTTATTTGGAACCTGCAGTGAAACAATCAAGAAGAATGTAAACAAAAACATCTGCAGTGAACGTGATTTTAGACCTATTAGTGCCCGAGATTCTTGGCTAATATAAAATAAAGGAGCGACCGACTCAGATCTAAATGGGATTAAGGTCGAATAAAGAAGTAAATGAATAAGAAGTGATTCTGTAATTTAAATGCTTTTGTTCTGTTGTTATTATATATACTGTATATTATTTTCAAACTCCATATATAATTGCTTGTTTAATGCAATGCTTTACACGGTCTACCTCTACTCTGTCCACCGCAGGGAATTGTAGCATTGCAAGTCCTGAAACTCACCACTGACCAACTGGATCACTGTATAAGTAAAGTAATATGGTACTAAATATTTTCTACATAAAGAGTGTCGCTTTATGCGACATACGGACTAAACAGCCAGGTCACAGTCCCCAAGGTTCAGGCACAGCCGTCCCCAGTGTAGAACTGCTAGCCAAAAAGTGGACATCAGTAAGCAGCAGTCGTTGTTTAAACGGCTACCCTTATCCAAATAGTTCGAATGACTGTTTAAAGCAGCTTAAACCTTGGACTTTTAGGTGCCCAGCCCGACATCATAACAACTAGATCATGCCCAGCTCCAATAAACGCAGTCCTTTGCAGCACTAAGTTTTGTTTTACACGGTGGTGTAGTATATGTTAAATGGACTAAAAAAAGAAAGTTTATATATTCGAATATATACCTAAAATCGCCATTTTTAAATTGAAAATTAGGCTTGTAAAATACGAAGTAGAAAAAGAATCTCGTGTGGAACCGTGATTTTTGTCTAAAAATCAGTAAAGGTATCTATTTTTGAAAATGATTTCTGCTAGTCTTGATTTACTTATTACCGCGAAAGAAGTTGCTTCATTGTGTCAAAAATATCCTCATACACCTTAAGCAACTTAAACAGTTGGTTTTACCGTGTTTAAGATATTGTCACACACCTTAAAACAGTTGTTTTTACTGTTTTTAAGATATCCTCACGCACCTTATACAGTTGGTTTTACCATGTTTAAGAAATCCTCAAACACCTGAAAACTTGATCTTACCCTGTTTAAGAAATCCTCACACACCTGAAAACTTGATTTTACTGTGTTTAAGAAATACACACACACCTTAAAACAGTTGTTTGTACTGTTTTTAAGGTATCCTCACGCACCTTAAACAGTTGGTTTTATCGTGTTTAAGATGTCCTCACACACCTAAACAAAATCAAATTCCTGCATACCTGAAAATGAACACAAAAGCTTCTAAACTAAGTAATCTTTTGTTGATTTTATCAGATCTTATAGCATACAATATTAGTAGCATTCGTGAAAAAAAATGAATTACAAGGAATCTAAATGAATCTAATCTTATGGTAGGTATTCAGATACACTAATAAATAGAGCACAGAGAGCAAAAGAAAGAAACAAAGCCAAGTGAATATATAAACAAGATATTTATTCATATTAATTGTGTACGTCTTAACACTTATTGGCTGGCTTAGAATATTTCTTTAACTCCTACTGATTGCTGACCTTCTGCACACGTTTACAAAGAATAAAGAACAATTTCCATTACTGCAAATAACATTAACAAGGAAGATAAAAGCTACCATTTGAGATGGGCTTGACCCTTCCCAGAAGGTCAGACACAGAGCAAGTGTGTGCAAGCTTTACCCGAGTAAAAATATCAGTATATGTTTAAATCCTTTCGATATTCGGTTAACAAGAATGTCATGCTACATGTAGAACACCTGCAGGAAAATTAGTAAAAATCCTTGAATATATATTATATACTGGTTATGGAAGACTGAACTTCATAACCATTTAAATCATTACAATCTTACGTCACAGAAACATTCAACAGAACCCACCAACAGTGCTGAGATACGTAAATAACGATAAAACAGAACCAACCAACAGTGCTGAGATACGTAAATAACGATAAAACAGAACCAACCAACAGTGCTGAGATACGTAAATAACGATAAAACAGAACCCACCAACAGTGCTGAGATACGTAAATAAGCAATAAAACAGAACCCACCAACAGTGCTGAGATACGTAAATAACGATAAAACAGAACCCACCAACAGTGCTGAGATACGTAAATAACGATAAAACAGAACCCACCAACAGTGCTGAGATACGTAAATAACGATAAATTGCAAGCGTTTAGAAACAGAAATGTACGTAAGTAGTTTTTCATTCTTTAATATAAATTATAATTGGTAGTGAGCAGAATATACGCCACGTATTAGTAAGATGAATTAAGATATGAATAAAACATACATTGATCACCACGCTTCTTACGACCTCTCGTCCTGTTTTCTTTATAATTTTCAATAGATATTATTACACTTTTCATTATAATTAGAGAATTCGAGCTCACAATTTACCAATATAAATAATCTTAATAAATATAGAATCCTCTACAGCAGTGGTTCCCAAACTCTTTTAGTCTAGGGCTCCCTTTATGTGAATAAAAACGTTTGAGGCCCCCCAACTTATAACTTTAGCATGGCGATTGAAAAGCAGTGCCTTAGTAAAAACAATAACATCTCCTTTCGACATATTGTATCATTTAATTAATTCAACATAATTTGTATCGGCTTATTGTTTATTTAGAATTAAAATTAATTCAGCATCTTTGTTTTCGGCCCATTTTTGGCGGCCCTCCAGAAAAAGCTTCACGGCCCTAGGGGGCTGCGGCTCCCAATTTGGGAAACACTGCACTAGAGAACAAGATTAATATTTCTAAATGCATATGGAGTAAAAAAAACGAAATAGTCCAGCCATTGTTACAGCGATAAGACTTTACATTGATGGATTGCAATGACAGAGAGGACGAATGAGGATATTTACGTCAACGATGTAAACTACAGTTACTCTGTTTCCGTGGAAACAAATAGTTATTACGACAACGTGTACTTTTCTTATCTGGAAGGTGACTTATCGTCTACATTTAACTCATAAGTTGTAATAGCTCCCTCTACCCACAAACACACTTAAATACTGTAATTTACAGTGATAAATACTTCCCTCAGACCTCGACACAAGACTAGCATAAATAATGGTTAAATAACTGAACAAAAATAAGACGATAAATGCATAAAAGCATCGCATTGCCTGAATTTAATGCATTTTCGTAGGTTTTTCACTTTGGCAAGAACTCACAGAGTTAGATAAAAAATACTTTGGGAACGTATTTTTTTTCTTTTTCATATTTGCTCAAAAACTCATTTCCATCCAAATTTAGATACTAACAACGTCTCTGATTACGTCATAATTCTGGTAAAATAAGAAATGTACACAGCAAATATTATGCCTTGTTTGAGTACCTTGTATTATACATCCACTATCAATTCTTTGAGATGTTTGTATAGTATTCTAAGATAAGTTTATAGTAACGTTCTAACAAGTAGTATCCCTTGGTGGCTCAGCGGTAAGTCTGTAGGCTTATAACTAAAGATAGGTTTCGATACCCGTGGTAAGTATAGCTTTGTGCTTAACAACAAACAACACATTTAATTCACAAGTTGTTTGGTTGAGAATTTGATGCAGAGTTTAAATTCTGAATTTTAACCCTAACAGGGCCAAGAAAAGAATTCAACGATAAAAGAAATGGAAAAGAAGACCTGATGTCTAAACAACATATCTGATACATTGAACATATTCACTGAAATAAAGACAGTCGCACGTCTAGTATACCGATTGCTAGTTAACAGAGAACCAACCCTATCTAGTTTGCTGTATAGAAAACTTCGGTACGTCTCCCATTGTTATCCGCCACTTCGTCACTCCCATTCAAAAAGAAAAGGGGGAAAAGTGTTTTCTATACTTCTGCATCTTTACATGACTGATGTGGCCACAAAACTGAAAAGTTACAACCTAAAATAATCACAAAGTAACACCAACAATGAAAAGACAGGGAAATAGCGATAAGGAATAAACCTTTGTAAC